TGCAAGTGGTCCAGAAGTGGCCGGGGGAGGGGGAGGAGGGGGAGGGGTAACTGTGACTAACTGGTGACGACTGAGGTCCTGTAACTTAACGTTACAGGCTGAATTGGTAAAGATTGGGAGAGAGCTGGAAGAGGCAAGAAAAATAGTGGAGCTGAAAGAGCTGAGCAGTAATTCGTACCCCGTACAGCACACTTTATTTGAAGGTAAAGAGAGAGAGAGACTGAAGGTAGTAGGTAAGGTATAGATAGGTATAGACAGGTATAGGTAAGGTAAGTTATGAATGAGGGGGAGGCAAATGCGCAACCGATGAAGTCGGAGACGCTAAGAAATTCATCACCGGCTCATCACCGGCAATGACCCCCCTCGGTTTTCCACCCCTCATTGGTACCTGGAAGGAGGGGCCAAAATTACTCGTACTGTATGTACATGGCGCATTCAGTGAGGATCTGCACAGTGTTCTGGATAAGGACCTTTGGAGCAAGCAGATTGCGACTTTTCAGGGTTTGGTTTGTTTGTGGCACTTTTATTTTTCGCGCAACAAGGAAGGGTTTCTTCATTGCCCAGCCAACCCAGCAGGTGCCAGCAGTTGATTCTTCATCATCCTGGAACTGGGGATTGTGTCGGAAGCACGAGCAATCAACCGTAATACACGATCGAACAAATCGAGCGCAGGCAGAGACCGCGTCTCCTTAGCCTCAACTGATTGCAGAATGATCGGCCTGTCTCTGTCTGCAAGTCTGTAACGGTATACTGACTGCTGGTCAATCTTGCAGGATTGCTTGGCTGGGAAGGCTAGTCTACTTGCATACATCACATCCTCACACCAGATAGCCTGGCTCAATGGTGAATCGGACCTGGACAATTACAGCACCACATTCTCTGGTCTCGCTTGATGATACGGGAAAGGCCCTCCTTTTGTCCTTATCGCCTGCTTGCGTAAGACCAGCGGCTTTGCAGCTAGCGTGGAAGGCACGCCTCACCTACCCTCGACACTCTCTTACTTCAACGCTTCCTTTGCCCTATAGATCCCCATAACACCGTTGAAGAAGTTAAGAATGATCTTTTCTACCTAGAATGGTCTAATTTGGTCTATCTGCCATAAGCCAGGAACCCCTCGAGGATACAGCAGCAGCAGCAGCAGCAGCAGCAACGATAACAGCTCACCGACGCAACACGGGTAGAGTAGGCCTATCCAGCCGGTGGGAATCACTGAAGAGCCTCTGTCTTGGAAGCATGGAGAGCCTCCTCTATATCCCGTTCCGCCTTGGCCTCCTCTGCCGCCGCTTCGTCCACGCCCTCAAGGGCCTTGACCCGTTGTACCAGATCGGTGACGTGCACATCGGCACTGCCCAGCCCGAGTCCGTCAAGCGACTTCTCCAAGAGATACAGGTATTCAGTATTCTTACCACTCTTTCCCTGACTGCGACTTATCACCTCAGCCACATCTTGTTGCTCTCGTCGGATCGGATCCCGCAAAAACTGCGGATTGGTTGGTTGACCGATGTAGACCATACACACGATTGGAGATGACGCCGACCCCTCTGCGTTTGGCTCATTGGGAGTATCGACGGGATGGAAAGGGGTGTAATGAACGGTGTAACCATTGATTTCTCGGACATCGAGATAATCGTGCACCTCCTCAGCATGGGAAGCAGGGATATGATATGCAGCACCCCAAACCGTGGCTGTCGGCGAGCTTTCCAGATGTGCCAGCTGTTCCATACCGTGAGTGAACCATCTCAAATAGGCATATTGGCAGTAAACAACAGAATTCCACGGTTATAGCTGGCTGATCACGGCCGCTGAAGAGAATAAGAAGACATACCGGATCATCCAGTGTCTCCCAAAATTCCCGTTCGATCACCGTCACAACTCGTCCAGGGTTTTCTGGAGTGCCACGATGGTCGTTGCTAGATGCGACCTGTCAGCCCTGACATGTCGTCTCTCAAGAATAACTTGACTCACCTTGCCTAACAGACATCGCCAGTGAGTTCATCTGCACACTGACAAATACGATCATCATAACCATAAGGCAAATTATATGTATCAACAAACCTGCCAGAAGCGCCGCACATAGCCATTGATGTAGCCAGGAACCCGCTGATCTGGCAGACATTAGTCCATTTGTATCATATATGGAAATGAGCCACTCCTGGTATCATGGATGTAAGCTGTATACTCTACTTACCATAATGCGGCGGCGGCTTCCAAATCAAACTCCTGCTCTGCATCAGCCACTGGTTGTTGATTCCAGGGATCACCCTTGGGCCGCGGAGCGACCCCGGCAGCACAGTGAACGGCTAGGCTTACCCGTATCCGAACACCCAAAGGTCGCCTTTAGGGAAGTAGTTACGCCATGTCCGGCCGTCTCTGGGAGCCTCGCTCCCTTGTTCAGCCGAGCCCATCTCCGATGCCTCAACCTGGATCTTGACTTTAGAGAAGTGACTCGGGTGATTTTCTTGGCGGAGATGGGTTGACTTACTGAGTACAACATAGTCTATAATAATGTCTGTCGTATGGATAATGGGGACCAGAAAGAAAGGTTATACTAAGAATTGACAAGAACTAGGTTGATGGAATGAAGCAGCCAGAGAGCAAGTCTCCAAGTTGACTTACTCGGTTCTTTCCAGAATCTATGAGGCAGGCAGACAGGCACCTACCACAATGGTTGTATCACCGCCGAGATTATTGATGAGAAATCACCTACGAGTATTTACTCCGCATGTTTGCATTGTTTGCCATCCCCGATCGATGACTTCAATTCATGCCTGGATCTCGCCATCTTGCAGCACTGTCTCGGGAAGTCACTTGAGACGGTGTGACAGAAATTCTATTTTGTAGTGTTACTCATTATCAGCGCTTATTGTGGATTGCCCAGCCTTACGTGAGCCATTTGCATCCTCTGTTCCATTTGCATGGATTACAGCAGAGCCTCACAAAAGGCAAATCGACAACCCATATTTGCAGGGGGGCGGATCGCTGGTAGTTGCAGAAGCCCCGCTTAGTCCATCCCATCCTTGCTCGGACTTTTTGCTGCAGAGCTTGCGCGCCCTCTCTTTCGTATTCGTTTCCTGCTCCAGCGGTCTCCATCATCTTGTCCGTCTCGGGGCGATTCAGCGGGGCCGGCCCAGACGCCGGACCCGGCTCTAGTAATACGCTAATTTCAGCTGGCAGCTATCACCAGCATCCAGTTGTCGAGGCTAGATAATCCTTAGCTCACGCGAACCTCTTGATTTTTCGATTTGGATCGGTTGGAATTACTACACCAACCTTGTTCTATACCTTGGCAAACGTCCTCCTCGGCCGTATAATGTCGACCTCGAAGGCCATACTGCTGTGTCTTTTCACATTCGTCATGGCAGGGCTATTTCGCCTTCGTCGGTCGCGACGCAATATCCCGGTCGATCCCAGCGGGGTGTCGTTCGCAGGAAAGACGGTGCTTCTGACCGGAGCAACATCCGGACTGGGATTCGAGGCGGCTGTCAAGCTCCTCAGCCTGGGCGTGGACTTACTCATCATAGGCAGTCGGAACCTGCAAAAAGGCCAAGCGACCAAGGCGGAGCTTGAACGCCGCACCGAGAGACCGGGTGTGGTGCAAGTGTGGCAGCTGGAGATGAACAGCTTCCAGAGCGTCAAGAGCTTCGCAGAGCGTGTGAACAACGAAGTCGACCAGTTGGATATCGCCATCCTCAACGCGGGTCTATGGAATCGAGACTACACCGTATCGCCGGAAGGATGGGAGGAGACGCTGCAGGTCAACACGCTCTCGACATCCCTGTTGGCATTCCTCCTCCTCCCCAAGCTGAGAAGCAGCTCGACACCGACGCAGCCAGCCCATCTTACAGTGGTCTCCAGCCAACAGTTCGTTCGGGTCAAGGCGCAGAGCCTCCGAACGGAAGAGCCGTTACTCAAGCATTTGAACGACCCCCGCAATTTCTTAGGCCGCCGACAATACGGAATCTCCAAGCTTCTGCTCGAGTATATGCTCAAGATGGCGGCTGGGATGGTTCGCCAGGACGACGGAACGGTGCCTGTGATCATCAACTCCGTAAGTCCGGGGTTTTGTGCCTCGTCACTCGGGCGGCAGTATCGTAGATTTTACGAGCGATGGCTGTCTTGGCTGGCGTATAAACTCTTTGCGCGCACAGCTGAGCAAGGCAGCCGATCGCTGGTGAGTGCCACGTACCAAGGGGTGGAGTCTCATGGGAAGTGTTGGAGAAACGATGGTTATCTAGAGTGAGTCTACCTCGGACCTGTTCCACGGTTAGAAGGTGCTGGTTAACAAAGAACAGCGAATCGATCGCATTAACAACGGGAGCGGAAGGACAGCAGTTTCAGAACATTGCTTGGAACGAGATCGCGTCTATTTTGAATGAACAGAAGGAGGGACTGGAGCAGTTGGTCGGGGGTTCGTGACGGTGCCTAGGCTTCCCCGGTCTTGTGGCCTCTGCGAATGACAGCGCAAGGCTGAGCATCTTTGACACGAAGACTTTAACATCATGAACCACTGGCTCTGAACACAGCCTCCCAGCGGTTCAATCCTAGTTTGTATAGTATTCAGAAGTAGCA